CTCCCCGCCAGGGCCTGAGCTGCGTGCTCAGCCCCTGCCTTGAGGCCCCTGCAAGTTGCGCTCCCCTGTTGCTGGCCGGCCCCCTCCTGCACAACCCCCCAAGGTCCCCTCAGCGGAAATGGCTCTGGGGCTGCTGTGAGCTGCCTGAGGGCCACCCCCATGCCCCAAAACCAACACCCAGCCCCGTGTCACCCCCATCTGGCGGCCAGCCAGGAAATGTCTGCAGGATGCAGGGGGGTGTCCTGGGGACCCAGATACACTACGTCAGTTGGGGCCCCCACAGAGGGCAGGCAATATGGAGTGCCCTTGGGTTGGGAGGGACTGCGAGAGCCAGTGGCCTTCCAGGTACTGCGACATATCCGCCCACAGGAGAGAGGCCCTCCTCCAGCCCAGGGCTCACCCTGGGTCAGCCAGTGGGTGGTCCCCCAGGGTGACAGACACCTTTGTTTTGACCAGCTCCTGTAATGCCCAGAAGGACTCTGGGGCACAGTATTGTTAACACTGTGCTTTTGACACGTGCAGAAACTGAGGCACACATGAGCCGCTGGCCCAGTCCCACAGCCACAAGGCAGGCGCAGATCTGGGCTGGCAGGCACGTGTGCCCCTCATGGTCTCGCCTCCTGGGCGTCGTGAGTCACAGGTGACTCCCAGAGCCCTCCCTCCCGCCGGCCCTGCTGTGCCTGAGGAAACCGGCGGGAAGCCAGCGGGGTGGTACCAGATCCATCATCGTCACCCTACAGGAAGTGGTGTCATCACCCAGGGCCTGGGTGCTGTTGGCGGAGAAAAGGGCTGCCCAGCTCTGAAAGCTGGGCACCTCTGCCCAGGCAGCCTGGGCCTGGCACTCCCCGCCCGGTGGGCCTCAGCCCTACCTGCTCACCCAAGCCGGACAGCCGTGGGTGTGGACCTGCTCAGGGCGGCAGTCCCCCCCTCCCCAAGGCTGAGGTGCCAGAGGCAGGTTTTACTGACCCCGGCCCCAGCCCCAGTCTCCTGGGTGAGATGTGACCACCAGAGGCGTCCCTAAGCGCCGGCCCGAGGCGTCCACTCACATCTCCGCTTGTCACCGTTTTCTCAGTCTGGTTCCAAAGCTGGCCAAGGCCAGTGTGGGCTGCTGGGGGTCGGTCTGGGGCCCCGTCCTCGGAGTTGGTCTGCTCTTGGTGACAGCCTAGAACAAGCGGCCCCAGGGGAGAATCTGCATTCAGTCGTGGGGCAGAGGGAACAGGGAGGGGAGGCAGCTCCGGGTGGTGGGGGCTGGCTGGGTGCAGGAGGGAGGCGCCCAGGGGAGGCTGGGGCTTGGGCTCAGGGCTGGACGGAGCCCAGAGCGCCGCCCGCCCACTCTGGGCCCCTGACAACATGGACCTGTGGCCTCATTCTGGGAGAGCAAGGGACTGAGGCCACCCTGATGCCCCGAACCTGCGCCTCCCTCAGCGATCTCCAAGTCACCCCAACAAAAACTGCAGACAAGTTGCCTCTCTAGCCCATCACCCTAGGACACCTGGGCAGCCACCATGTGCCACCCACCCGCTGCGTCCCCTCCCACTCCTAAGCCTCAGCTCCTCCGCGTGAGACCCCAGCCTGCCTTCCAGATGCTGCCAGGGATCATGTGGGGCTGGAAAGCTCAGAGCCCAGAGGGGAGCCCTGGCCACCGTGCCCGCGTGGGCCTGCCGGCAGCAGGCAGGACCCCCCACCCCACTCCGCCAGGGAACATGTTCCGGCTCCCTGCCCTGAGCCCCTGTTCCTCCCTGGGCTCCAGGCTGTCTTAAGTCCTGAGGATTGACTGGAGGAGGGTAGGGAGGCCTGAGCCCGGCTGTCAGGAAGCCCCTCCCTCTAGGCCACCCCCACGGCCCCTGCCAGGGACGGGCAGAGCCAGTCAGTCTGGGAATCCCCACGCAGCCCCTTGACACGGTCGCCCCTGCTGAAGGGGACTGAGGCCCCCTGAGCCTGTCTTGCCTGACCTTCTAGGGACAGAAGATGAACCTGTCGGTCCTGGAGGGCGTAGGCTTCCGCGTGGGCCAGGCTCTGGGTGAGAGGTGAGAGCCGGTCCTCCAGCCCTTCCCCCCAGGCTGGGTTCATCCCTGGGCACTCCGGGAGGGGCGGGGGGCTGCACTTCTGCAGGAACCCAACCGGCCCCCAGGTTGCCCCAGGAGATGCTGACCTTCAAGGAGGAGCTGGATATCCTCAAGTTCCTGTGCAAAGACCTGTGGGTGGCCATGTTCCAGAAGCAGATGGACAGCCTCCGTACCAACCACCAGGTGTGTGGTGCCCGGCCGGCCCCCGGTCGCAGGTGGGTGGAAAGCTCAGAGCCCCACAGGGCCCCGGGCACCTGTGCGTGGGCCTGCCTGAACCGGGAGGCAGGAGCCCGGGGCGCTCGTGGGCAGCCCCAGCCCCATTCTGCTTGTGCTGGCAGAGAAGCCAGGTGCTGCAGTGCAGGACTGAGGTGGTTTCCACCCTTGCTGGCGACGCGGGACCCCTGCTGGTCCCAGTTCCCACGGGGCACCCACTCGGTGCTCGGTTCCCATCTGTGGGTCCACCGCTTCTCACAACCCTGGGCAGTGGGGCCTTTCCTCCACTGCAGCAAGTGGTTCAGGACCCAAGACCCCCATGGGTGGACACTGAGCCCATGTGGAGAAGCCCTCACAACCCTCTGTCGCTCTAAGGGTGGGTTGTGAGCACAGTGGTTTGGGGGGGCCCAGCAGCCCCCCACCCCAGGATACACACTGCAGTCTCAGCCTACCCACAGCCTCTCCTCTGCTCCCAGGGGACCTATGTCCTGCAGGACAACAGCTTCCCCCTCCTGGTCCGGATGGCCTCAGGCCTGCAGTATGTGGAGGAAGCACCCAAGGTATGGGCCTGCCCCGTTCCACCCCTGCTCCATTCTCACTGTTTATCCAGCCCTGGGCCCAGGCCTGGGGAAGGGGTGGGCCCCTCCACAAAGCCCAAAGTCCAGCAGGGCCCCAGGCAGGGCCTGCTGCGTGCTTTTCCCACGGTGACCTGTGCCCCCGCCCCCAGTTCCTGGCCTTCCCCTGCGGCCTCCTGCGTGGCGCCCTCAGTACCCTGGGGATCAAGAGCTTGGTTACCGCCTCCGTGGCATCCCTGCCTGCCTGTGAGTTTTGGGAGGTTCTTCCCATCCCCCAGTGCGGTGGAGGCCCCAGAGCACCCCTGTCCCAGCACCAGGTTGAGACCGGAGAACCTAAGTCCATGCTTGGGCCCCTGATGACCCCCTGTCTGCTTCCTGGGTGTCAGCACCCAGGGATACCCTGGATGATGGGCCAGCCTAGGGGTTTCCAACATCCTTCCGAGTGTGGGGGCCAAGCGGATCTGGCTGATGCTCGGGTGGGGGCCCAGAGGCAGCCTGCCATGTTGCTGGCAGGCTGCCAGACCCCCGGGGCCCTCCATCAGCCAGGTGAAGTCCACTCCTGACTGGGGGCAGCCTGCAGCCTGCCCTCCTCCCCCCTCCACCAGGTGCCTGCACCCCAAGGTCCTTCACCGGGGCCTAGGGCTTAGCGAGCTGGACTGAGCAGCACATGGCACAGCAGCCCGAGCCAGGCCCCTCCCCGGCGGCCTACATGCTTGGCCCTTCATACCCCTAGTTACCCAGCCCTGGATGCAGGTCAGCTGGGCGGGGAGCATCACCCCTCTGGCCAGTGAGGAAACTCCAGCCCCAGGCCACCCAGACTGTGGGCGCAGGGCAGGATGAACATCTCCGAGCCATCCGGGTGCTTTCTGCCTCTCCCCTCAGACCCCCGCCTCAACTAAATCCAGCCCTTCTCTTCCAGGTAAGTTCCAGGTGGTGATCCAGCAATCCTGAGGAGCCTGGGCCCCGGGGCCTGGGCTGCTGCCTTGGGGACTGGCCAGAGGGCTGATGCCGGGGACCCCAGGCTCGGTGCCACAGCAGTCGGGAGGCCAGGTGCTTCCAGGGGTTCTTCGTGCTCAACAAGTGGGCATTGTTGGGGAGTCAGGGTGGCCGGGGCTGGGTGGTCCTGGCTGCAGCTGGGGCTGACCTGATGGGTTCCTGTCTGCTAATAAAGGCTTGTGCAGAGCTGGATTCCAAGTGGAAGGGGGGTGGGGTGGGGGGCTACGAACGAATGGTTTGTGTCACAGGTCTGTGTTGGGGGAGGGGAGCTGTGTAGCTCTCCTTCTTTCTCTCACCTGCCTGCCCCCTCCCCCCAAGGCCCTGGGGCCTGTGCCTCCGCCCTACACACCTGGCAGAGGCAGGGTGGCCCCCGGCACTGGCAGCCCCGCCAGTAGCGACAAGTCTGAGGCTGCCCTCCGTCCAGTGGGGCCCCCAGATTGGACCTCTCCCTGGGGAGCAGGGCAGGGTGTCTGTCGATCAACCCGTGGTGCGCCCTGGGTAGCCAGGGGTGGGGAGGGACAAAGAAGGAGGGACAGGCCAGATACCCTCATCTCCCCGCCCCCCACACACATTCACACACACTTCACGTGCCTGACAGAAAGGAGTCATCACCAGAGCAGTGACCTGGCTGACCTGTCCCTGGGCAGTGGCCTCCCTGTCCCTGCCCCTCCCCCTGCCACCTCCTCCTCCCCCATTTATACTCCTAGCATCAGGCCCTCACCTGGACTCTGCCGCCTGCTGCCCCATGTGGGTAAGTACCCCCACCTCTGAGCTCTGAGCCCAGGCTGGGTGAGCCCCAAAGCCACCAGGAGGGGTCTCTGCTTCAAACAGCCGCAGTGGGTAGAGGCTCCTCAGGCCTGGGGAGCTCGGGGCACACACGGTGTCTCCCTGCCCCGCTGCCTGCATCACCCCCACCCCTCTGCGCAGCCAGGGGCGGCCTGCTGGGCAGTCTTGTCCTGCCTGCCTGGGTCCTCCTCAGTGGCCGGGCGCCAGCACTGCCCAGCACAGAGCCTGACAGGTGCTTCCAGAACGAATCAAAGGCGGGAGGAGTGGGAATTGGCCTCTCCCCCAACTCACCCCACAGGGCCACATGCATCTGGAGGTTTGGGGTCCTGTGTTGGTGGACAGCAAGGAGGCCGACTTCCCAGCAGGGCCGGCTTGAAGGCCTGCAGGGAGGGGACAGACCCCTGGTACAGACGAGGTCCAGGCAGAGCCCCTGGAGGGAAACCAGGCTGGGCCAGGTGGGTCCCCGTCCATCCTGTCATGGGTGCCATTCCAGATCACCTCCCTGTCCCTTCAGATCACCCAGCTCCCCAGAAGCCCGTCTCTAAGGCCCCTTGGGAGAAGGTGCCAGGAGGCGGTCACTCAGCCACAGGTGGGAGGAAGGCGGCCTCGGAGCGCCACAGCCAAACCGCACAGTCTGTCCCCAAAGCCCTCTGCCTGTGTGGCCCGGGGCATGGCCGCCACCTCTCCAGGCCTCAGTTTCCTCATCTGCAAAGTGGGCCTCATACGGGTCCCGCAAGGAGGAAAGGGGTTACTGTGCAGAAAGTGCGTACCCCACGTGCAGCTCCTGTGAGCCTTGGGGGGGACATGGTGGGTGTGCCGCGTGCTGAGAGGCGAGTGGCCGGCAGCCAGCCCAGCTGGCTGTCGCGGTTGCTAAGGGCCAGGCTCCAAGCTCTGCGGACTCCTCCTGACAACCACCAGCAGGTACCCACCTGCTGGCTCAGCAATGAGGAAGCTGAAGCTCAGAGAGGTGAAGTCACTTGGCCAAGGTCACACAGCTGGGCCCCGAGGAACTGGCACCTGAACCTGGATTTTGGGGCTTCTTGCACTTGGACTCAATACCCATCGCAGCTCCCTCCCACAGGACAAGTGTGTGGGATGGGGGGGGCCGGAGGGGCCTGGTGGTAGTAGCGGCCCCAAGACACCCCTCCCCCCTATAGATCGGAGCTGGGCAGCACCATGGCTGCCACCTCCACCCTTTCCCTGGGCTACTGAATACAGCTCCCCCCATAGTCCTCGAGAGCAGGGAGCACCCCCCCTGGACCTGGCAGGCAGCTGGAAGGGGCGGGGCCAGGGGCTGGCGAACCGGTTGGGCAGCTGCTGGGCTCCCAGGCCTCACAGGTTGGGCCTGCGCAGGCAGTCGGTCCGCGGTCCGCAGTCTGGGCTGGCACCGCAGCGGCCGCTGGAGCTGGGGCCGCGAGGCCGCCATCAGGTAGGTGGGGCAGGGGTCACTCACCTGAGCCCTGATAGCCTCTGCTCGCGTAGCACCCCGGTTTCCTCTGTCCCTCCGCCTCCGCCCCTGCCCACCGGACGGCATCTCCACCGCTCTCAGCTCTCACCCATGCACCCCATCTTGCCCTCCCACATGCCCAGCCTCTGCTCTAACTTGTCCCCCCAGAATTCCGCCCCTTCCCACCCTCGCTCAATCCCCTCAATGGACCCAGCCCTGAAGTTTCAGTCACCCTCACTGCCTAGGCCCCTTCAAACTGCACCAGCCACCCCCCCACATCACACCCAAGTACCTGCTGCTCCCCCACTCCCCCACACCACCTCCCACATTTCCCCAGCCCACATCTGCTCAGCCTCTTGGAACCCCCGCTGCCCTGGCCGCTTGGAAGCTCCCAGGGGCTCCTTGGAACTCCGGCCCCCCAAGTTAGCCCCTAACACCTCCACCCGCCACCCTGGTCTGGCCATCCCTCCCTCTTCCTGACCTCAGGCTTTTCCTCTGAAGAGCACCTCTGCCCCGTCGTGGTGACCCGGGACCCCAACACTGGGATGCCCAGGGTCACAGGAGCCATCCGGGGGTGGGCTCTGGCACTGAGCCCACACCCTGCCCCCCAGCAGGCCCCAGGCCACCATGCAAAAACATTACGCCGTCCACTTCGCCAAGGGCACCCTGCCCCCCCGGGCTCCCACCGAGCGCTACTTCTTGGATCCAGAATTGGGGCACCAAAAAGGTAGGGGTTCAGTGTGGGGGTGGGTCTGGGTAGGGAACGTGGCCCATGAGTGGAGGGTTGCCGAATGGATGGTCAAGCAGGAGAACCTCAGGCCTGAAACCTCAGAGGAGCCACCTGTATCCCCCGTAACAGCTCTCCTGCATCGGGGCCATGGAGGGCGCAGGTGCTGGGGGGGTGGATGACAGAGGTGGAGTCATGCCTATCCCTTCCCCCAGATGGAAGAAGTCCCCCCACGAGGGCCTTGTCCCCCAGACCGGGGGTCTCAATGTGTTAGAGGGAGAAGCCAGCCTCCGTGTTGAGCACAGGTGATCTTGGGGTGTGTCCTGGGAGAAATACTTCACATAAGGGCCAATTCACTCTCTTCAGACCTGCGTACCCCAGGGCAGCCCCTGTCTGTCAGACAGGCCTAAGCCCCGATGCCAGCCTCACCCCCTTTCTTCCCAGCCCTTGGCCCATGTCCTCAGCCTCCCATTACTCCAGCCTCTGGACCAATTGGCCAGCTCCCCAAGGTTGGAGTCCTCCCTACTGGGGGACCTAGCAGGGACCGAGTGGCCTGGGAAGCCACTTGGGCCCTAGGGGCACCCCCTTGCTGGCCTCTCATCCTGCTAAAGTCCAGGCCCCTGTACCCCTTCTTCCCCACATGTGGGAGAAGACGGGACCCAGCCCCTCCTCTGCCCACACCCCCTCATTTCCTCTGACTTCTGGGCCTCAGCTAAGCGACCAGCCTCCTCCCGAAGATCCTACCTGGTTACTACCAGTCCCCCCAGGGACCCAGGCCCAGTCACCCCCACTTCCTTCCTTCTAGGATGTTGTCACCAGTGGTGCCATGACCCAGCAGCACCACGAGCCCACGGGCCCTGCCGGCCACCCCCGCAGGCACGCTGGCAGCGGGCCTTCGGCCTCCGAGGGGGTGGCAGCAGCTGTCGCGGGGGCCCCCAGCCCCCAATCCAGCAGCAGCGGCAGCCCCAGCCGCCACCCCCCAGGCCCCTGCGGCAGCGGCTCTGCCCCGTCCACCAGGCCCAGAAGGGGCCGCCTGCAACCACCGCTGCTCCCACGGGACCAGCCAGCGCCCCCCAGCCACCCCCTGCACCCACCAAGGCACCAACCATGGCCAGCAGCGGCCCAGCCCCGCCCTCGGCAGCCCGCACCCTCCTGGAGCCCAGCATTCCCACCAGCGCCCGGCCCCTGCCGGCCCCGGCGGCCTGCGGCCCCTTCACCTCCTACAGCTCCGGTGCTCACCCAGCGGCCCCGGCCCCGACCCCACCCGCCACCTGCTTCCGCCTGGGCCTCCCGCTCCCTGGCCAGCGCCCCGGGCTGCCCCTCACCTCGCTCTGGTCCCTGTCTCTTGGGCACTCGTCCCTGACCTTGGGTCTCAGGTAGCTGCCTCTGCTTCCCCTGCCGGGATCCCAGGCTTCCGGCCCGGCCTGTCCACGGCGCCGCTCGCCTTGCGCTGACTCCTGTTCTGCTCTCCCTCCCGCGGCCCCTCCTTCCCTGGCCCCTGTGGGCCTGGAGGACAGGGCAGGAGAGGGACGAGCATCAGCTTGGGCCCGCGCTGGGGGGCGGGGGGAGGCCGAGTGTGCGGCTGCAGCGAGAGCGGGCAGGGCGCTGGCGTCGGGAGGGACCCTGGCCACTCACCCCTGCGGTGGTTCACACCTGAGCAGGGGCCAGCGCCTGCGGCCGGCGCCAGGCTCCAGTCTGGGCAGCGGGCCTCTGCCCTCACCCGGCCGCTTCTAGAGTTCTAGGCAGCGGGAGACACAGGAAACAGAAATAGGGAAGCTCAGGGCTGTGCCACCCGGTGAGAGCCCTGCTGGGGGACGAGGAAGCTGGGAGGAGATGGGAGCATCAGGGTTTGCAAGTCAAATAGGCTCGTCAGGTGAGGTTGCATCAAGGTGACGCAGCATATAGACAGCAGCGCCGCAGACTGAGGCGGCAGGGGCAGGGGCAGGGAGGAGTGAGGTGGAGGCAGTGAGGGAGCTGCTTGTGGGGGAGGCCTGGGGCTGGTGGGAGGCCGGGGCTGTTGGGCAGCGAGGGCGGGCAGCGGGCGGCCCCGCGCAGAGGTGACTGCGCAGGGGAGGTGGGAGCGACCGGCATGGCGGGAGCAGGGCTAGTGTCTAGGTCTGGCTTGGACGTGCAGCAGCAGCTGAGTAGACCTCGGGCTCAGGTCAGGGGCGGCCTCGGCCCGAAGCCTCGGGGCCACGAGGCCCATTCCACACACGGGGAAGTGGAGGGGTATCGAGGTGCGGCGCCCAGCTGAGGCGGGGGGCTCAGACCCAGCCGCCGCCACCTGGCTGCCTTGTCTCCGGCCGCCCAGCCGGCTCACAGCCCGGCGAGGCTTCAGCCCTCTGGAGGGCGGGTGTGTTACCCCAGCAGCACCATGCGGCTGCCTGACTCCCACCGCAGCTGAACCCTCTCGTTCTGGGGCTCCAAGTCCAGGTCCACGAAGTAGCCTGGGCAGGGCCCTTGGGCAGTGCTTGCACAAGATGCCACAACTTGTCCTGGAGTCTGTACCCTCGAGGTCATTCCAGGCCATGGCAGTGACCAAGGGCCCGTCCCTGGCTGGACCCCTGGCACCCACACCCGGTGTCTCCTTGGGGCTTGGGCGGGGGACAGAACATGGCTCTTGCTGACCAAGAGGGGCGAGTGGGCAGGACCAGAGGCAGCCGGTATGGGCTTGAGCAGCATGAGCGCCTTGGCACAGGGTCGTGGTGAGGGGCAGAAGTCAAGGTCAGGGACGGACAGGATGCTGAGAGGACCCCCTAGTGGCCAGGGCCCCTCCACCCTGGGACCGGGCTGGCAGACACGTTACTGTGCACTGGGGAAAGCGGGGTTTTAAGCGCCGGGGCCTCAAGGTCCAAGAAAGGCTGGTGGGACTTTCGCGGGGGACCCACGGCTGTTGGCTGAGCTGGGTGGCCGAGGGGCAGCGCTGTGGGGGGCAGGCGGGAGGAGGGTGATGCCGCCCGGCGTCACTGACTCAGTTTCCCACCCCACCCGGGCCCCAGATATCCTGACAGAGGATGACGTCTACTGCAACTGCCTGGCCAAGACCCTCTGTCACGTGCCAGTCCCGGTGACCGTGGGCTTCTACGCCCCCTTCGGGTGCCGCCTGCACATGATGCTGGACAAGATCACAGGTGAGCATCCCCTGGGGGTGTGGGCCGGGCACAGAAAGGGGCCCCAGCTTCCCCCGGACTCCCTCACCCGAGGCCAGTCCAGTCCACCCAGGGCAGATGCCGGCAACTCAGCACCGTGTGGACGCTCCCCATACGCACAGCCTCTGCCCGGGTCCCCGCTCCCTCTCCTGCTTCCTCTCCGGCCTCCTGGTCAGTCTCACCTTCCCGCCCTCTGTACCGTACAGAGCGAAGCCTTCCTCCCCCTGCTCAGGAGCCTTCCGTGGCTCCCCAGAACCCTAGGGAGAAGCCAGGCTCCTCAGAGAGGCTGCAGGCCCGACCAGCCCCTCCTGACCACTGCGCCCCCAGGCCCTGACTTCTCCTGGGCCTTGGCCCTCAAGACCCCGCAGGTGTTCCCTGAAGACGTGAGCCGGCCGGGGTCCACACCTGATCCCGCGGGAGCGCCAACCCCAGGCCCAGTGGTGGCCAGAGGGGCTGGACTCAGCTGTGTGCCCCGCCGGTGGCCTGCCACAATGGCCTGCCGGTGCTGTCAGAGCAACAAATGGAGCCCAGGGAGGAAGAGACTAGGTGATGTGGGGAAAGGAGGCAACATGCTGGGCCCTGGGCTCAGCCGGGCACTGAAGCGGTGCCAGCTGACTTTACCTGCTGCTCATCTGCTGACCTCATGGCAGACCCATCCGGGGCCTCTCATGAGCCACCCTTCAGACACTGCCCCAGGCCTCCTCAGTGCCCAGGACCCGGGGTGACGGGAACCGCAGCTGCCCTTCCTGGGCTCACAGTCCAGGGGGGTGGGGGTGGGGGAGACTGACCTGTCCCAGACACTAACAACCAGGGCTGGGAAGGGGAGTCCAGTGGACACCTCACCCCGCCTGGGGGTCAGGGAGGGCTTCCTGGCAGAGGAGACAGGAGAGGCAGCAGTGAGCCTGGGAGCCCAGATCAAGACCCCTTCTTTCCATCGGGAGCCTGCCCGGCCCCTTCAGCTTCTCTCCTTTGCGGGGAGAGGGGGCTTCGGTCCACCCCGACAGTGGTGCAGGCTCTGATCGCTTCCCCGCCGGCCTCCAGGCCTCTCCTTACCACCCACATTTTCCATCTCTCAGCACTTGGGGCCCTATTCCGGCCACGCACCCCAGCCCCGCAGCTCACGCGGTCTCCCTGGCCCATTTCCACCCCGCAGCGCTGATGCAGCAGGAGGCGGCGCAGCGCGAGGCGGAGGAGCTGCAGCGCGTGCAGTGGCGGCCGCGGGCGGTGGGCGGCTGGAGCCTACCGCGGCTGCTGTGGTACCTGGTGTTCCTGCAGCCGGTCATCACCGAGGTGCACCTGCGGCGCAAGAACGTGAAGTTCCTCTTCATCCGCTTCAGCGCCTGGCAGTACGCGGGCACCGACAAGCTGTGGGCCGGCCTGGTGACCACGCTGTGCGAGGGCATCCGCCACCAGTACGGCGCGCTGCCCTTCAGCGTGTACTCGGTGCTGGGCAACAAGCCGGCCACGTCGCCCAACTTCCGCCAGCGCGAGTGGCACTGCCGGCGCCGCGTGTGCCTGGGGCTGCTGGCGCTGCTGGCGGCGCTCA